CGGTCGAATAATTTTAGGGTGTGTCGTATACGGTGATGGCGATTAAAAGCGAACTCCTGCATGGTAAAATCGATCTTATGAGGCTCCTTGGTATTTTTTCCCCGATCACGAATTATGCATTAATCATTATATATTATGTATATTATAAGTAATGGCTTCTTTTTTTGATTGGAGATTTCTTGGCAATTTTCGAAATTTGATCGAAGACATCTTCATCCACAACTGTCAAAGCTTGCTAAAACGAAAGTTACACTTCCAAAAATTGATAATTACATGCCAAGTTTCTCATCAATATATACAATATATTATAAAGCTTCTTTATTAAATAAAAATGTCATTTCTTTAAAATTATTTTTCAATCGCACGTACAGCATCTTATCAATATAATGATATTTAGCAGCGCGCGGATAGCAGCAAATGGCAAGAACAAAGTTTGTTCGTACTTGCTTTGATAAACCTTCAATTAATGTAAACTTCTGTCGGTAAAAATCGTTTTAAAATTACTTCGCACTCCCGGGCATGGCGCAGCCACGCCATCCCCCTCACGGCATCTTCTATGCCCTCCTTCTTTCAGCTGAGCCCCGAGAGCGAGGAAGCCAAAGCGGGAAAGGGGGAGAGAAGGGAGGGTGGCTTTAGAAGTTTGAGTGATATTCCAACTTTTAAAATATGTCAAATTATTTTCCTTTCAGAAGAGCTGTCGTCTAAATACATTTCCATCTCTTTCGATGTATTTAAATACACGGGACTCAATCTACAATACAAATATATAAGGCTTTCGACGCGTGATTGGTACCTATACGTATGTACAAAAGACGCATTCAGTTACGTTCGAGATGAGACAAATGGAATCTCGATTTTCAATATCGCCTTCATAACTGTGTTTCAAATATAAAACGACGACAAAATTATATTTTCCATTAATCATAAATCACATCTCTTTATTAATACTTTAAGATTTTTTAAAATAGACTATAAGATTTTCCCTTAAACTTTTTCTCAAGTCATAAAATAACAAGATGCACCCCAAATGATAAATTAGATTAATACGAGGACGAGCGTGCAAGAATCAAATCTCCGCAACTCACGGGAAATAAGGGAAACATTTTCTAAAATTCAGAGTCCCTTTTTCCAAGCACTTTTTCATTAAAATTCCAGACAGCACGTAAGAGCATCTTGCTGGCCGTATCATTTTATTTGTTGTGCGCAACAAAGAGAGACACATGGATCGACGAAAGGCGCAATTTTCGCTTGTAACGCCAATTCACCGGAGGACAGATGGAGGAATTTTCCTTTATTCCGAAAGTCCTTATGCCGGGCGCGTTTATAGGCTAGGCGAGTAAAGCACGTCGACTGGCGTCCTGGCGGCGTGAATAAGTAAAGAGGCGGACGATGCACCTATGTAGATAAGTATGTACCTATCCACGCAATTACATTACACACAAAACGTCGACGACAACTCTTTGTGCCGGCTGGATATCAAAGCTCGAATATTGCCAGCTGAGGTCCTTCCCTCCCCTCCCCCCTCTCCCTTTCTCCGCACCCTTCTCGCTATAGCAAAGCAATAGAGTCCTTGCCTTTCCGTCACTCTATATCCGGCACTCCATTTCGCGACGCGGTTCCTCCGTCTCGGGCAAAAGTAGCCTCCTCCTCATTCATCCGACGTTTTCCTTCACCTTCGCGTCCTCCTCCGCGCATCTTCTTCATCGTCGAGGCGCGACTTCGCCACTCTCTCCCTCCGTCTCGTGCGCGCCTCTCCTTTCGCTCTTCTTCGCCCGGGGAAAATAATTTCTTTCATCGCTATCTCTCTTCTTCGATTCCTCTTTATGCACCAGACAATGGGATGTTCCTTTTTCGGAGCACACGGGCATGCTGATTCGACGAACGACAATAAATCGTCTGCGAGAGACGACGATTTGGACTGACATGATTATTCCTCGCGTGCTCTTTTCTTTCTCTTCTTCCATTATATATATATTTATTAAAGATTCTCACCTTCATATTATCTACATAATATTGCATTACAGGTATAAAGCAAATCAAAGGGCAGCTTAAATGTCCGTCAAGACGCGGTCATCGATCCTAATTCTCGAGTGCCCCGGAATTTAGAAATCTCGTATCCGAATCAATTTGAATCAAGGAGTTCAAGAAAGAAGAACGGAAATGGCAACCCATAACAGCACTGGAACCTATGCATGCGAGAAGTAGTTAGCTTTATTGCAGCGCGCGGGAGTTTTTAATATCGCTTTGGCGCGGACGCGTCTGCCAGCTGACAAAAGGAGAAAAAAGGAGGCGTTAATGGAGAACGTTTTCGCTCTAACGACCATGGAGAAAAGGAAGGGGGTGGAACGGGCCAAGACTACGGGACATCAGCCGGGACTGCGTAAAAGGGTGGACGCTGGCGCCTGTCCGCTGCCCACCAGACATGCTCGCCAGACCGTATGGTTTTTATGCGAAGAGAAACGGAAAAAGAGGATACGGTAAGAATGCAGAAAATTTTCTCGTTGCAGGAAAGTTGGCGAAGACGTGAGCTTTAATCCGCTCAAATCAGTTTTAAGAACATAGCGAATGGCTAGTATGTAATATTCAGGATAATAGAAGAAATTCACCCAATGATGGAAATATTCCACCACAATTTTGATAGTATATTCATAGAAACTCAACTTGGAATTTTAAAATAACATATATATGTTCGCAATTTCCTTTTAAAATTATACAATTAAACAGTCACAATAAGATTAAACAATTCTTAATTGCTTTCAAATATAATAAACAACTTCAATCAATATATATTTTATGGCAGGTATACGTCTTCTGCTATTTGCAAGAGATATCATTGAAATATATAAAATGAAATAATATATAAAATAAAATAAAACATGTATATTAAAATAAAACATGTAAATTCGATTAAATTATAAGTGTAAAAAATATTTTGAAACATTATATACATTCACTTGAAATACTGAAAAATTGAATGCGTATCATATATGCGAGATCGGAAATATATTTGTTTGATTTTAAAATCCTCCGATTTGCACCCTCTTAAAGTAAGAACGAGGGAAAGAAATTCTTCGTGAGAGAGAGAAGGGACTTTGGGTGGCTGGCGGTTTTAGACTCAATCCCGCTATGCAGATTAATAAAAGAATTCATGGAACTTAAGCCGCTCTTGTTACTTCGATTTTCTTGCGCCTGCCAAGAGAACCTGCAAAATCGCCTCTCGGTTTTATCCGTTGATATTGTCAACAAAAATATGTATTGTGTCTAACGTTACTTTTACAGAATGTCCAATCTTGTCGCTCTCAGTGTTTTTTGTGAGGGTCTTTATTATGTTACTCGTTAATTCTTCGAGAAAACATCCGAGCCAGTTAACTTGCAACTTTTTTACAAAGGAATTTTTATCCTCTTATCAATGGCGCTTACATCACACTTCAGTTTTACGTGTGTTGAAAATAAGCTTTGTCTCTTTTCATGAGCATAGTAGAATGGAATATATTTAAAGAACGCCTTATGTTAATAGCATCTGAATATGCACAAGACATTCTAAAAAACTCTTTTTATTAATTTTATTAACCTTTTTTTATTATTAAACTTTTTATTAACTCTTTTTTTATTAAATCAAAAACTAAATTTAAAAATCTGACAATTGATACACAAATGAATTCATATTGTTGTTATTTCTATTCAACAGAAAATTAATTGGAAAATATTAATATATGCTAAAACATGCAAAATCATGAAAGAGGATTAAAGTCTTATCGAAAAATCTTATTAAGAAAAAATCTATTGTGAAACTTCTGTGAAACTTCTGTGAAATCTATTGTGAAATTAAATATTTATTGGTATAAAAAATAGTTTTAGAACATTTTAAATGTTGACTAAAAATCTTCTAACTTTAGAAACAAGCAAATTGTAGAATACTATTATAAACGTCAATTCATAAAAAGAATTCAATTATGGAAAATTATGCATGGTTATATAAATAAATGTGCAAGTCTAGTTCATGGATACCGCGGATCGCGTCACGATTTAATGAAAAAAATTCGTAATCACGTAAATAATTGCAGTCGTGCCTACGATTTCCGCGAATCGTTTAGATGTTCGGTTAACTATGCGGGAAATACCTGCTGGCAATTAGTCAGTGCGCTAATGTCTTCTGGTTACCCCAACCACGCAAGAAATTGGCAGCAGAATAGCGGCATTGTCGAGGAACAAGTATAGAAGAACGCAGCCGACGCGCGCGTTAATGGATCTTACGTCTCACTAGCATTATATACGATAATGAAATATGCTTTTTATACGCGTCACTATTTGTGCGATTGATTTAAAAAGAGTGTACGAAAGCTGAACGCAAAATAACCGATAAATAATAAATTTTAATTAATTTCGATATTGAAAATTTTTTTATACGTACAATATCTGTCATGCTCAGTAATTACTTTTACATGTTCGATATGTTCCAAAAAGAGAGAGGGAAACAAATAAAATGTTACATAAGCTACAATAAATTAACTGAAAAATTGTTGGCGTTATGAAAAAGAAAAATATTCGAAAATTAAAATCAACGGTACTAAAATTTATATAACAATATACAATATACAATTTCAATTCGCACGATTAGTTTCATATATTCTCTCGCGTGACATATACATTCAATTAAAACTCCCTAAACACCTAGTATACATTTGCGATAGTCGCCTTGAGTTTACTCGTCAGATATGCTTCGTACTCTTTGCTTCGCTCTTCGTTTACATCTCGTTATACGTGCTAGGGAATATTTATTTACACCCTTCACCCGCCACAGCATCTCTCTCATACTGCAAGTTTCTCGAAATTATCATTGCTAGCTTGTATCTTCGTATACCCAACATTAGGGTTTACCAGAGACGAAAGAGATGCCTCTTACATTCGTTATCCACATAGACCGCAAAGCATCGAATGAAATTTTCACCTTCGTATGCTGACGTGCAAGAAATAAAATGCCAAAAAGAATAAAAACTTACTCTACCGTCATTCTGACTTCTTCTACTGCCATTCCTGCGATTGTGATCGGCTGTTTTGCAGCAAACAAAATTATTGTCTCATCACGTACCTAGAAAATGAAAAGAAAATATGAGCTATAGCTTAATAATTATAATTATTATTAATATTATTATTATTCTTTCTCTACTTGTAAATATATTTTTTAATCACTTTATAAATATTTCTATTTTCTCATATAAAATGTATAAACTAATAATAACGTATAAATTTATATAAATTGTGTTCAAGTAATGTTCAAATATATAAAATCTTCCTGCAGCTATGCGACTATTTGAAAGTATTTACAATATTTTTCTTAAATCTATGAGATCGAACACTAGAATCGAGTTTGTATATTAATTAATACAGACATAATGCAATTATGCTAAACTCTTTTTTGTACTCAATTCGATAACTAGAGTTTCATAATTTTTGCAATGAAAATTATTAACAGTATAATATTTAACATTTCACATTTATACATAATATATAAGAAATCAAGCGCGGATAGATTAAAAATGAAAAATATATATAATTGAACTTGATATAAAATTTGTTGAAGCAAATTCACGCGTTATTAACCAATAGAAGTCATATCGTATCTAGTTTTTCAATTTTTAAAGTTTTCATGACGCTATTGGAGCTTCAATAATTATGCAAACATATTTCAATATAATCTCTATTTCTCACAAGAAAGAATCATCCTGTAGATAATTTATGCGATATAGCATTTCGTACAATATTTTGCATACGAAAAGAAATTCTTACTCAGTTCAATATTGTCTGCTACCACCTATCAACCAAAAGTATCAAACGCGTTCCGCTAAGTATTAAAACGTGAACATTATTCGCGTTGCCGCAGAAACTTCCTCTTAACGTTTCGCAGATAAAATGACTACCACGGGCAACTCCTTAAAGGAAACAGTCGAGCCATCCGTTACGGGAAAAAGCATTCGCGACTCCGCTGATACGTACAAGTAGGCGAGTAGAAGGACAGACTTATTTATCGCCGCGGCGCAGAAGAAGAGAGAAAGAGGGCCATTTGTATTCATATGAAAATATTATCTCGCCGCGCGTCGTGCCTCTTCGGGATCGCTATTCGGTTTGCATAGATACTTATGCATGAAGGCAACATCGCTCGGCATTGTTATGCAACCCGATGTAGATCCTCAATATAGATCCACGCTCGAGGTTTCATTCCGATTTGAAGAGCTCCGTACTCCTTCGGAACATTCAGGCACACATACACACATACACATACACAAGATGAAACCACTATACCGAACTCGTTCCCTCCTCCCTCTCATTCCCCTCGCGACGTGCGACCATATTACCGGTTGTCAAAACGCTAGATTGCTGCTTCTTCATCATAGATATTGCATTTTAAGTTTGTGACATACGGAACTGTTAACTGTTGATATTTTTTTTTATCTGTTTCGCGCATAAATGTCTACACTATGCACGTAATTTACAAAGATTCATGAATAATTAGATTAATAAAAATAATTATTAATAAGAATAATATTGCTTTCGATATATAATTGAATCCTAATCAAGTAAATGTAATTTTCTACAATTTCTACAATTCATATTTTTCACACAAATTGTAAAATATTAAATTTATGTTCTATACAATTATAATTTTACGGTATTACGTTGCCTAGAAAATTATGGCAAGTACATGCGTTATGAATTAAGTCCTTGAAAATCTCTACTATGTATTTTTCGTCCTGAAAGATTTGTAATATGTGCGGGTAGCACAATTTGCGCCAACTTCTGTAGCTAACCAGTTCTTCCTGTTAACTTTATGATCATATATCCTGTTCTCGAGATATAAGAATCCGATTGCTATCTCGTGTACTACATAAATAACGTTGAACCTTAAGATTTTTAACATTGGATAATCTTACATCTGAATTTTTAAGTTCAAAGAAATATGAATATATTATATCGAATTTCTAAAGATCGTGTAAAAGAGGAGAAAGAAGAAAGAGGGAGAATAAAAATAAAAAAAGAATATCACACAAAAAATGTAAAATATTACAAAGTAAAATTTAATTTAAAACTGAAAAATGTTACAGGCTTCATCTTAATGATACCAACCAAATCACCTATCTTGCCCTTTTCTGCGTAAATTGTATTATAAATCATGAACTTATCTATAAACTTAACCCATTTATAATTAAAGGAATTTTTATTATTCGAAGATATAAAATATATTGTGGAAATAATATTTAATATATTTTGTAATGTACTCGAAAAAGCTTATTCTGACTAAACCTAAGCGTGTCATTGAATAAAATTATTATATACATATATCGCGTTTTTTTTAACGACACATATGATATTTATGACAAAATAAACTGAAAACGTAAGATTCTATAATTATCCGTATATAATCTAAAATAAATTGCAATATTCGCGGTAATTAATATGCAACTGTGCCCAAGATGTAGCAACCGTCGCAGAGATTAATCATACATAAAGTTCTCTCGATGCTTTCAATGGGGTTATAACCAGTTCCATATATCGCGTTTCTTTTAACGACACATATGATATTTGTGACAAAATAAGCTGAAAACGTAAGATTCTATCATTATCCGTATATAATCTATATAATCTAAAATAAATTGCAATATTCGCAGTAATTAATATGCAACTGTGCCCAAGATGCAGCAGCCGTCGCAGAGATTAATCATACATAAAGTTCTCTCGATGCTTTCAATGGGGTTATAACCGGTTTCGCTAACCGAGTTGCACGACGACAAAGCAACCCACGCCGAAGATAAAGTGAATACGGAGTGCATATCATAAACATATACTTACATCTCCGCACACATTACCACTGTTTGCACTTCATCGCCCTACGTTATTATCCAACTTATCTTGTTATAAAGTGCATAATAGGGACACTTCAGGAACGATCGAGTTTTATAAGATACCGTGACGAATATCTATCCAACCGAAAAAACTAATTCGTAATTTCTAAAAGATTGCACGCGAGAGACAGGGTTAAGAGACGGTTATTTATGCTTATAATAATATTTTGTACATGCAACATACTTATGACGCGCATGATAGGATATATAAACAAAAGAAACAAATATTAAGTATTTACACCCTGAGAACAAATTTATAAATGCTGCTTCTTGCTTAAAAATCAACATCACAATTAATATTGAATCTATAAGAGCGCGAAGTTAGTCGACCTCGGGATATGCCGAAGGGGTATGTCCGGGTACACCGAGACGTACGAGACGAAATTGGATATCAATTATCCCGGGATGATTATAACGTAAGCCGGGTGGGTCTTGGGCGAGCAAACAAACCGTTAGGATCGTCGGTAATTGGGTGGAAATTATTGCGTTCTCTCTCTACGTGTCCGGCTCTCTTTGTCGCTCGCACTGTTTCGCGCCATCGTCCTTCTCCGTCCCTCTCGCTTGTTTAGCAAGACGATGACGATGGCGACGGTGCGGCTATAATTTTCTCTTAGGAAGTAAATTTCATTAATGTAGCTGGCCTAACCGCCGAGAGAGGAGATCCCCTACGCGATAACGATGCCGAAACCGGCTAGAGGCGATTGGCCGGCATATCGACCAGTCGTGTTATAAAAACTAGTAGCTATCGACCAATTTTTCTCTTCACGCAATTTTTTTCTCCCTCCTGTCCCTCTTCCTCTTCGATTTTATTCCTTCCTGATTAGTTCTCTCATTTTTTTTGCTCTTTACGTTATCCTAAATGCAACAACTGATGATAGATTCGAATGATGATTAGGACAAGTCTGTCATATTATAAACAATTGGCGAATTTGCTTCTACAAACACGTATTTCGATGAATTCAAGTGTGCGTAAATAGGTAGATATATAAGCGAATGCACGTGCGAAAGGTGGGGGAGGCACAGGTGTGTGTGAGAGACGGCAACATTTATTGGACCCTCGCATGCCAGTAAGCAATCAATAATTACGCGGAGCTGGATTAATGTACAGACTGCGACGAAAGCATTTGCCGATGACCGCGGATTAACTGGGATTTTCATGCAACAAATAAAAAGCCGTCTGATATTCTCCAAGATTGAAGTACCTTTCTCAAGGTTAATTGTACTTTACCAGAGAAATGCATACGCGATAAGCCATATCGTGACCAGAACCATTTTTTTAAACTACCTGCAATTCAACTCTAGACCGGCGGTTCAATAATAACCGTTTGTTGCGCAACAATTTATTTGTCATGGGGGTGAACTGTACTCTATTTGTATTGCTTTAGTAACGTACACGATTTATGCTTCTATATTAGAAGATTATTGCATTATTAAGTACAAGAATGTAAAGAATAAAAATGCCGCATATTATTATTAAAATTTGATTTTTCGCAGAAAAGATCGATAATAATTAATATATAATGAAATGGCTACAAACTTTGAAATGGCTATAAACTTTGAGATCTTAAGAAATATAGGATATTTTTTAAATTCTTGCAAAGAATCTTCTTAATTCATTTTATTTTAAACCGTTTTATTGAATGTCATCAGGGATTCTTTTTAATTATTTGCAATCGCAAATCTCCTTCAAAAAACTATTAATATTCTTATTAGAATTTTCTTTAATCAATTATCAAAAAAATAATTGAAAAGAATAATAAAACAATAAAAAATAGGGATAAAATATATAATTATTCCGTAGAAACAAAATAATTCTTAATATACGTTCATAATACAAATTTGCGGATTAATTGTGTACTAAGGGAAGCAATATCAGAGAAGAAAAAAAATATATAAAAACTCACACTTGCGATTAACGTGCGTATGTTTATCGGAAACGCGGTAGAAGTGATTGATTGAACGTCAGAGAGAGAAAAAAGCGACGTAATAAAAACGACCACAGTAACAGCATCCGGGATGTTAAAGAGTTTGCGCGGTACTATTTATTAGGTATTTGCGCCATATTAAATCAGTAATAGCAGGATGAATTGTCTGCTTATATATGTGATTATGCCAATTATCGAATATGTAATACCAAATATCCGTATCCGTTCACATTCAAATTCGCTCTGCGTATTTTCCGCACTTTGACGCTGCATCCGATGCCGTTTTCACAGTAAACCGCGCAATTCAAAGTAATTTGCATGGGATGTACCTGAAAAAGGACGAACTATTGTACACAAGAAAGAAGTCTGGAAAACAGGCGATTATTATTAGACGCGTAAATGATTAAATTGTGTATCCGATCTGTGAGAAAGTCGCTCACACATGAATTGCACGCTCTTAGCTCGCACTCTCAAAACCGCAAAGCACCGGTAACGAAGCTGTAACAAACTCCTACTGGCGAAATTTCGCCAATCTTGGTTAAACGAGCGCAAACTTTGGTTATACTCGCCAAGATAACTACACAGTTATATGTTACTGCAAATTACAGTTAAAAATTAATAGTTTAAGACTGTAGATTGCATGAGCGGAGTAGAATATATCTATTATGTATATCATTTGACATGTTAATACGTACGTATATATAAATGATACAAGAATAATATATAAAATTGTCGATAAAATTACATCAAATTATTCAAAATTGTTATAAGAAATTGATATCACAAATAAATAATCCATTATTAATTTGTCAAATATATCACATGATATCTGAAATAAAATATATATCAAGTCCTAATTAATAATATGATGTGCGCTCATATTTAATAATTAATTAAGAATTAAAGAAAACAGAATAAAGGAGAAAGCTTGTAATTAAAATCTCTCTGGAAACAATATATTATTTCTTCATTTCCACTAAAATGCATACAACAAGCATTCTCCTCTCTACGAATTATATATTATTTGTTAGCTCTAAGATATATCGACGTATCAATCTCTTAAAGAAAAACAAGAGAAAAAAATTATAATAAATTATAAAATAATTTATTATAATTTTTTTTTAATTTTTACAATAAATTATAATATATTATAAAAAAATTTTTATAATATATTATAATATATTATAAAAATTATAATATATTTTATCGAAAATTTTTATTTTAATTTTCAATCTTTATATCATTATTTATACATCTTGAAATAAATGAGAAGTATATATGAGCTCGTATTAGCAACTGAGATCCTTCTTCGTCACCCGATGCACGCAAAGGAACAAGTAGACAGTTTCATGGCGAAAGGGGAGGACACGCCTTCGTCGCCTTTAATGGAATAGCAAATAGCGGGCAGGAAATTTGCGCTTACGAGGCGCCTTCGAGCGCAAGATACAAAAGCACGCAGGAAATTCTAAGCAAAATGGCCGTGTAAGATCCGTTGATTCAATAGAAACTATTTGCGTTGCCATTAGACTGTCCAATGCCGGCGCTATTGCCTGTATACACAAGAGATGGCGACAAAAAAATGCACATAATGACTTGACACTATCGCGACAAGATCTTGAATTTATCTGTTGCAGCAAATCTTGCATTGCTTAAAAGGAGATAATGCTAATAATGGATATATATTTATTAAAATATGATTTGTGTTTGTTTTTATTTTCAATAAAGCCTTAATAAATTGCGAAAAAACTCAATTGTGTATAACATTCAAGAATGATATATATGTATAATATTCGAGTGCGACAAAGAATATAAATATGTAGAAAATTTTTTAATTAATCAACCATAAGATGAAGATATGTCGCACAAAATGCACGATAATACAATTTATTCCGATTTACTTTATTCAAATGTGAACGCATTCCGTTCAACCGTAATTATACGATTTCCAACGAATTAACGTTCACGGCATCGTTGCATCGCGCGCTGCACCGGATCATCTAATTTCCGGTTTCCATCTTGGTGACGTCTGCGGCATCCAAAATTACGCCCCCTCAAGACGAGACGGTGTACGCTGGCCGCATCTGTGCGCATATTGTCTTCCACCCACACTATGAGGCACAATTTCCGCTCTACTTCCGGAAATGGATCCATTGTCCGATATAATCGGAAGACAACAATATCGCGGTCGTGTCTCTCTCTCTCTCTCTCTCTCTCTCTCTCTCTCTCTCTCTCTCTCTCTCTCTCTGTTTCTACACATAGATTTATCAATGCAAACATGCATTTGTGTACATATACGTGATATCGAGCTACCAGCGTACACGCATATATCTACGCCGAAACATATCACACGAGCATAATGCGCTCATTTTACGTTGATCAAAACACTAAATGATGTATGTTATTCCAAATAGGAAAATCATTTAAAAATAAAGAAATCATTTGTTTGATTATCTGAATTTATCTGTATACTTTATTCAGAAATTTACTCGTGTCGTTTTTCCTTACGTTTTTTGTTATTTGTGTTTTTAGCTTTTATAAAAAATATATTAGTGTAATTGTGCAGCTTATAATTTCCTTTCATTCTGTTCTCACAAATGTTAAAGAAAGGTATATCGCAGAAATATTGCTGTTACTGATATATAGTGTGTGCAATTTTATAGAAAAATGCATATATTATTTATTACAGTAATAAAAATAACATTAAAATTAAAAATTTTTTATTTTAGCACACAATAATCAATTTTCTATCTGTTTTTAAAAACGAGATATTGATGGTTAAAATATATAATTCACATTATTAGAAACACATGTTTCCATCAAACGGCGGCTGGTGTAATCAAAGCTCATAACGATATTAATCATTTAACTGTCGACTATTATGTGATATCATGCGACAAACAATTTATCAGTGGACAATTTGTTCGACCAATTGTATTGGAATATCTTTAAACGGAATTCGCTTGCGTTATGGAAGCGTGTAATAGACAATCAAAGCGTAATTTGCGAGCCGTATTTCCTCTAAACGCTATGTAATTAATGCTCCCGCTAATGAGGAAAATAATCGAGACCATACATACGTAATGAGACACCCATATAAACGCAGACGTATTCATGTCTAAGAACGATGGGATCTGAATCTTCCATATGTAGGATCTGTCGAGAGCGCACACATGTTTAGACATACATATATGGGGAGGCTGTGCGTATCAAGGCGCACGCATTCATACACAAAACGCAGTATCAGTTCACCTGGATACATGTGAACGTGTCGTCGAGCGCGTGTAGCTTGATGCATGCGAATGCACATCCGGATCATGAGTAAATTAGTGTGAGAATTAGTGTGAGAATTAGTGCGCTATACGCATGAACATACGTGACGGAGAGAGACGTGTACTGCTTGTTGCATAACATTAACCCCCATGTATATTCCCGCCTTGTAAATGCGCTGTAACGATTGCGGTGGATATACGCACTAATGGAGGCACAGAGTACGCTGTAATAGAGGGAATTATACAGATAGGTTAATGAATTAAGGAAGATAAGCGATATTACCCTGTGTACAATGCGCGACTCTGATAGACACTATTGTTTGTTGTATGTAAAATAAGATCCGCCGTGAATTATTCACGGTGTTTAAATGAAAGGGTGGTCAAGAACAAGCGAAATGTGCGGGACGTTTATTACAAGAATTGCAAAACAATCGCTTTTCACATCCATCCGCTCCCGAATTGCGCATGGATCTTAATTATACGCAGTGCATATCGTGCATACATGTACTGTTAACAAGAGGCAATATCTTATTATGCATTCAATCAAATATACGAATAATGCTAATACAAATGTCCAATTTGAAATATTTCGATTAATATGAAATTTTAAAAAAATATGAAATCAAAATAGGTATGAATTTTTTAAATAAAGATAATTAAATAAGGATAATTATAGTCGGAAAATATCACAAATCTAATTTTATTATCCAATTATATATCAATTTTTCTTAAAAAGTCAGTAAATAATGTCAAAATAAATAATATTATTAAATAATTTTATCTCCTAGCAGATTCGATCAGATATAATTTTTCGAAAAATATACATATATGCAATTATCATTCGTATCAGCAGTCATTAATATGAAATTTATTGGAGATACGTATCTAAATATGAAGCCAAGAGACATACATATATTGTAATTAACAATTGTCCTCGATAAAATATTACTGAACTGAGGTTGGAAAGAGACATATATTACACACACACATATATATATTAATTAATTGAAAAAAAAAAATTTCGAGCTACTTGAAAAACCGATAAATTATATCTGCAAGCTATATTGCACGGTTTATTAGATTGTTTTTATAACTGTCGTTATTTTTTAAATTTCAATCGAGATATTTCTTATAAAAAGATTAATGATTAATTTGATTAAACCTATCACAATCTCGAAAATCGTGTGATTTAAGATGATCACTCCATATATCCATGTAACGCAGCAATGTACCAATGCCTATTGCTATATAAACGCATCCACGCATATATGCACATGAGTCGTAAAGGGATGTACTAGATGAAGCTAGCACGTAATACGTATGTACATACATATCGTGCATGTACGTGCAAGCGTAATTATACATACAGGAATACACACACTTACACGAGGAAGGCAAGTCACGGTCGCACCTGCTTGCCGTACTGACAACAGGCGCGTCCTATTGGACAACGCACCGGTCGAACAGACGGATGGACAGACGAACGGACAGACGCGCATATACCGGTTATTGTCCTGTCCCAGGAAGAAGCAGGGACTTCGCTATCAGCTTCGTTAGCATTCGATTTCTATCGAAAGATGTTTCCTACACGGTCTACATCACTTGTCCATCATATTTCCTCCTTCCCCGTTTTGTCTCTATCCCTGTTTTATTCTTCAATGCTCTGTTTGCAAAATGTTGCGTCGCACTTTGTCTGTTCATCACGTTAAGAAATGACCAAAAAAACATGTACTAATCATTATAAAAAAGAATATATTAAAAATTTTCCCATTAATATATAAAATAATTTATTTTTTTAAATTAATTTTTTTAATTTTATTTTTTTAAATATAATATTTAATATAATATTTAATATATAGACGTATATACATAAACTTCTCTTTCGTTAATTTATATTTTTAAATATTATATCGAAGTGTCAATAAAAACAATCAAATTATACTTTTAATCGATTAAATATTTCGACCACAGGATTAAAATGTAATACAGTAACGCAATCTAAATCCAATTATATGCCTGCTAAGAAATTTAAAATTTTGGAAATTCTCAAAATTTAGAAAAAAATATAGCATTCCCCGAACACTCTGCACGCATACACTAATATGCCATAATAAAATTTCATTACAGTGAACGTCGATAAAATGTAATTTTCACCGTAATAAAATCTAATTAAATGCCTGGCTAATACCTGTCCCTATATGGATAATCCAATACCGATAACGAAATTTCAATACATCAGTAAACCCAATTTCAAAATTTAAGGTAATCAACTCCAGCGGAGTTGTAATATTTCATTGTATAAAGAAAATTAAACAATTCTCTTTTTATTATGATTCATATTTTTTGAAAAATAAAATTACTGGACAGTCAAAAAAAATCTCCGAGTCTTCGAAAAAATGTATTGCGATATAAAAGAATGCAAAAGTCTTATGACTCTTAAACGCGCGCATCAGTGTTCAAATTTAATTAAAATAAAAATAATTTTAAAAAATATAAAATAATCTCTAAATTACAATTGCACTAAAAGGCGAAAAAATCAAATAAGTCCGGCAAGTTGCATATGCACCTAATTGTTACAAACGCACGATCGTGCGAAAATTGCTCTCTGTATGTTATATGCATCTTTTTTTCTGTATTTAATAGTCTTGCTAGATAAGCAAGCGAGCGATTAAATTGCGACGATGCCTCTCGCAACCAAACAAAAAAGGCAACTGTAAGGCCGCTCGTAAAGTGTCGTTACGTTGCGGAAGATACTGTGGCAAATGACCAGTCTGCGACTTACAAATGAACATGAGCAAAGAGTTCATACGCGGATACCAGTTTCAAGTATATGATTAGCATTTTCAAGCCTGGGCGCACGTAAGCATCCAAAGATATTTTATACTGAAGGGACTGCGGTCGCATGATAAATTATAACTTGCCGTACGAGGTGAATTTACCCATTCTCCGCTTAATTTATCATTTAATCGGCTGCGTGGTATTAAACAAGCTTATTTGCCACGCTTTAATGAAACTATGCGCAAGATTATGATAGTTACGTTTTACTGTTAACAATATATTTACTTCGTGAAACTTATGTTTCCCCTTTCTACTTCGTAAAGTAAAAGGTCATCCAAGTAAAAGGAACATGGCGATATTCACACTTAATTAATAATTAATCGCATCCCCGATATCATATATAACTTCAACGAAAGATGCGTAGATATAAAAAAAAATAATTTGAAATATTCTAAATATATGGTTTTTATCATATAATTTAATTTCCTTTAATTTTCCTTATAATATTATTCCCAGGTTTTAGAAATACTGCACCGTGTTTCAGGTTCATATGTGTTTTCCAGAACGACTCAAGTCGGAATACACACATACTGTGTCCTAGTGAACCATCAAAATGATGGATCTATCCACATTATCTTCTATCTGGCAGATGGAGAATCACTCGTTAGCTGCTCGTTGTTTACAATTAGGGATCCCCCATAAAAAGATTTTGACGTGGTAATTATCACCTCGGCTAAAGCCACCTTGCGCAACCGTTGCGCATAGACGTGATGAGTCCACGGCTGCACCAAATCGGACGGTATATACTTGCCTACTTCATAAGCTGCCAAATTACAGTTTTCGAAATGGTACGGTGGCTCGACTTTGCATAAAAAATTATACGGTCATTCGGACCGAAAAGTGCTTCCATCCTATTTGACTTAAGACCACTACACGCGTGATTCTACGCGCATGAGAACTGAAAAAGAATACGCACAGTCGGCCCGAACGATCCATTCGCTCGGGCCGCTCGTTAAGAGATGGAAGAAACGATATATAGCCCACGGTGATGGGCACGACTAATTATTTCTACGGTTTATCTTCCGGCTTTTCTACACCGGCATATAGCCGCATTTTTATTTTATATCCCGATGCATTCGAATAAATTTTTACCCCCTTAGCAACGCCTGCTGTGAG